GAAACCTCGACCCTCTAAGAGCCGGGGGGCCTGGGGGGTGGGGGTGGGGGCTTAGGGGGGGGGTCCCCAAATCCCTTTGACCCCCCAAATCCCTTTGAACCCCCCCCAAATCCCTTGGAACCCCCCAAATCCTTCTACCCTCTTCCCAATGGGAAGGGGTCAACGCGCGTCTTGGGGCGTTGAGGAGTAGAAGGTCCCCAAAAAGGGTCTGGGGGCTCCAGTTTGTGCCCCCCCCCCGAGGGGTATTTTGGGGTCCCCTGTTGCCCCAGAGCTGGGGGGTGGGTTGACCCCCCCACCCACCCACCTCAGGCTGGTTTATCCCATGGGATTTTGGGAAAATAAACCTCCAAAATGTCTTGGTGCTTGGTCCTTGGTCTTGGGGTCCCCTCCTTGGTCTTGGGGTCCCTCCTTGGTCTTGGGGTGTTCCCCCCCCTCCTCTCAAGGCCAGGAAGGTGGGTTGGGGGGGGGAATGTGTGAATTTGCATGCACCTTTTTGGGGGGGGTGTCTTGGTTTTTTGGGGGTGAAACGAGGAGGTTTTGGGGTCCCCAGAGGAGGTTTTGAGGTGAAACGGGTTTGGAGTGTGACACAAGGAGGTTTTGGGGTCTCCTCTTGAGGTTTTGGGGTGACACAAGGAGGTTTGGGGCTGAAATGGAGGAAATGTGGGGGTCTCCTGAGGAGGTTTTGGGGTGAAACAAGGTCTGGGGGCTCCTGAGGAGCTTTTTGGAGTGAAACAAGAAGGTTTTGGGGTCTCCTGAGGAGGTTTTGAGGTGAAACAAGAAGGTTTTGGGGTCTCCTGAGGAGGTTTTGAGGTGAAACAAGAAGGTTTTGGGGTCTCCTGAGGAGGTTTTGGGGTGAAAGGAAAAGGTTTTGGGGTCTCCTGAGGAGGTTTTGGGGTGAAATGAAGTTTTTTGGGTGAAGCAATAAGGTTTTGGGGTGAAATGAGAAGGTCTTGGGGTCTCCTGAGGAAGTTTTGGGGTGACCAGAGGTGGTTTTGGGGTCTTCTGTGGAGCTTTTGGGGTGAATCAAGAAGGTTTGGAGTCTCCTGAGGAGGTTTTGGGGTGAATCAAGAAGGTTTTGGGATCTCCTGAGGAGGTTTTGGGGTGAACCAAGAAGGTTTTGGGGCCTTCTGAGGAGGTTTTGGGGTGAACCAAGAAGGTTTTGGGGCCTCCTGAGGAGCTTTTGGGGTGAAACAAGAAGGATCCCTCAGTGTCCCCAACATGGTGGGACAGATCAGGGACCCCCCCAGATTGTCCCTGGTTTCCCCTTGGGTCCAAAACCCCCCGAAAAAGCAACATTTTTGGGGTCACCACCTCATCTTCCAGCCCGGCCCCCTCAACTTTGGCCCTGAGGGGTCTCCAGCCTCATGAGGAAGCTTCTCCCAGCCCTGTTGTCCCCTCCTGTCCCCTCCCCTGGTGGCTTCTTCTCCTTTTTGGTGCTCCCCCCTCGTTGCTTCCTCTCGGCCACCAGATAAAACCCGGCGCCGCCCGCTCGGCCCCGGGGACGAGCCCAGGGCTGGAGAACAACCCAGGTGAGCAGTTTGGTGGGGCCCAAATTGCTTCTCTCTCCTCCAAAACCCCCAACCCAAGGTCGTGGTGGGATCATGGGGCTTGGGGGTCACCTCTAACCTTCTCCTCCTGGGGTGAGTTTTCCGTGGGGAGGGGGTGGTGGCTCCTCTTTGGGTGTTGGGTTGGTTGGAGACCCCACAGCTCCTCTTTGCTCCTTCTAGTCGTCCAGGTTGGTCTGGATGATCCCACAGAAGGTTCCTCCTGGCTCCTCTTTGGGTGTTGAGTTGGTTGGAGACCCCACAGCTCCTCTTTGCTCTTTCTAGTGGTCCAGGTTGGTCTGGGTGATCCCAGATCTTCTCACAGAAGGTTCCTCCTGGTTCCTCCTCCTTCAGCCCTTTTTTCGCCCCCTTCCCTTGGTCCTGGTGATGCTTTGGGCACCAAGATGTTTCGTGCCCCAGGGCTAGAGGTCCAAATTGTCCCCCGTGGCACCTACCCAGGAGATGCTGGAGAAGTTGCAGCTTCTGTGGTGTTTCCTCATCCCCACGTCTTGCGCCACGTGGTAGGAGACAAGAATTGGGAAATGGCCACTTCCTTGGTGACCAGGGCCAAGGAGGATCACAAAGCTGAGGTGGTTTGAGGTGCTTGCACCACATCTTCTCCTTGAGGAGCATCTCACCAGGCTGGGCTTGTTGTGGCCTTCTCCATGAGAGAGACCCATTGGGTGGAGGGGAAATGATGATGAGCATGAGGAAGGAGGAGTTTGATGGAGAGGGTGGTGAGATGTTGGACCAGGTTGTCCTGGGGGGAGTTGTGCAGGTTCCATCTTCAAGGTCAGGTTGGGGAGGGACCTGATCTGGTGGGAGGTGTCCCTGTCCATGGCAGGAGGTTGGGTTGGGTGATCTTTGAAAGTTCCCTCAACCCAAACACATCTATGAGTGTGGATAGAGCTTGGAGGAACCTGATCTAGTGGAAGATGTCCCTACCCATGGCAGGAAGCTGGAGTAGATCTTTCAAGGTCCCTTTAACCCAAAACTATCTATGACTCCATGGATGGAGCTTGGAAGAGCCTGATCTGGTGGGAGATGCCCATGGTAGGAGCTTGGATTGGGTGGTCCTTGAAGGTTCCTTCAATCCAAACCCATTCATGTTTCCATGGATGGAGCCTGGAGGAGCCTGATCTGGTGGGAGATGCCCATGGTAGAGGCTTGGATTGGGTGGCTCTTGAAGGTTCCTTCAACCCAAATCTGTTCATGTTTCCATGGATGGAGCCTGGAGGAACCTGATCTGGTGGGAGATGCCCATGGTAGGAGCTTGGATTGGGTGGCTCTTGAAGGTCCCAACCCCTCCTGTGATGGTGCCTTCCAGGCTGGCAGAGGATGGACTACTACGACTCCTTCCCCAACTACACCTTCAACTCCACCTGGGACTACGAATCCTTCGACTTGGGGGGCTACGAGGTCTCTCTGAGCCAACGGGTGGTCCTGACCCTCTACGCCCTCATCTTCCTCCTGGGGGTCCTGGGCAACGGGGCCGTCATCTGGGTCACGGCCTTCGAGCTGCGCCGCACGGTCAACGGCGTCTGGTTCCTCAACCTCTCCTTGGCCGACCTCCTCTGCTGCCTGGCCCTGCCCTTCTTGGCCATCCCGTTGCTCCACGACCACCACTGGCCCTTGGGTGGCTTTGCCTGCAAACTCATCCCCTCCCTCACCGTCCTCAACATGTTCACCAGCGTCCTCCTCCTCACGCTCATCAGCGCCGACCGCTGCGCGTTGGTGACGCGCCCGGTTTGGTGCCAGAACCACCGGACCTTGGCCTTGGCCAGGGTGGCTTGTGGGGCCGCCTGGCTCTTGGCCACGCTCCTCACCTTGCCCTCCTTCATCTTCCGCACCATCCGCGCCGACGAGTTCTCCGACAAGACGACGTGTGTCCTGAGTTACACCCTGGTGGGGTCTCGGCAGCGACTCACCGAGGTCGTCATCTCCACCACCCGCTTCCTCTGCGGCTTCTTGGTGCCCTTCGTGGTCATCACGGGCTGTTACGGCCTCCTCTTGGCCCGGGTCTACAGCAAAGGCCTGGCCCGCTCCCAGAAAGCCATCAAGCTGATCTTGGTGATCATCACCAGCTTCTTCATCTGCTGGTTGCCCTACCACGTGGTGGGTTTGATCTTGGCCTCCACCCACCCCCAGAGCGGGTTGTACAAGGGCGCCTTGGAGGTCGATCCCATCGTGGCCGGCGTCGCCTACGTCAACAGCTGCATCAACCCCATCATCTACGTGGTCATGGGGCAGGACTTCAAGGGCAAGGTCCAGCGCTCCTGGAGGACCATCCTGAGGAGGGTCCTGAGCGATGATCCCCCCACCAGCACCGGGGGGGACACCAGGATGAAGACCAAGTCCACCATAGACGACCAGACCGTGAGCACCATCGCGTGACCCCGGGCTGGGATGTCTCCTGTGTTGCTCGAGGCCACCACCACCACCTTCTCCTCCTCTGGAATGTCTCCTGTGGTGCTTGAGGCCACCACCACCTTCTCTGGAATGTCTCCTGTGTTGCTCGAGGCCACCACCATCTTCTCCTCTGGAATGTCTCCTGTGTTGCTCAAGGCCACCACCACCACCTTCTCCTCCTCTGGAATTCTCCTGTGGTTCTTGAAGCCACCACCACCTTCTCCTCCTCTGGAATGTCTCCTGTGTTGCTGTGTTGCTTGAGACCTTCTCCTCTGGAATTCTCTTGTGGTTCTTGAGGCCACCCCCTTCTTCTCCTCCTCTGGAATGTCTCCTGTGTTGCTCGAGGCCACCACCACCTTCTCCTCCTCTCCTGGAGGTGGCTCCAAGGCTGGAATGTCACTTGTGGCCACCACCACCTTCTCCTCCTCTCCTGAAGGCCCCACAGAGAGGGAAGAAGATGCCCCACTTGGCCACCTACCCCTGGGGACCTTCTCCTGGCTTCCTTGGTGACTTCCCACCTTGGTCCTTCCCCCCCATCCCACCTTCTCCTCCTCATGGACCTCATTTCCAGCTCCCCCCACCAGCCAGGGGGGTCCAAGGGGTGGTTGAACCCCCCTCCAAGCTCCCCCACCCCCAGGGCCACCTCAGAGGTGACAAGTTCATGGTCCTTCACTGTCCCCTTCCCCCCCTGCTGGGGCTTCCCCAATAAAGCTGGAAGTTCCTTCAAGCCTTGAGCAAGACCTGAGGTCACTGGTTCCCTTTTCTTGCTGGTTTCTGGGGCAACATTTTGTGCTGACTCAGCAGGTTTTGGAGCCCCGGGGTGACGCAAGTGTCACCGTGTGTCCCCCACCCTGGGAAGTCCCCTGGAGGGGGGGG